ATTAAACTAATATAACAATCGTATAATAAGTGTAATAAAAGTAAACGTAGCTGAAAGTTAAATCGCATCATAAATACGGTAATAAACATGCGAGAAATGCCGAAACCGTACTCTTGCACAACCGAAATTGGTCATTTCTATTCCTGTCGCAGCCAAACAATCTCGAACACGACAAAAAAAACATAAACGGAACCTTCCGTCATTTAGACGGGCGCACAACTGACACATTCATCGCCGCACAACCAGTGGCGTAGTCAGGATTTTTTAACAGGGGGGTGGGGGGCAAAAACAGCGAACTGCCCAAAATAGTGGATTATACTAGAAAATTTCCAATGGTCCCCTCCCTGCCCTCTTACACACGTACCTCCCCACTCTCCAGCTCTGCAATCTTGTTTTGGCGCTTGCAAAGAAGATGACAATTTTTGTTGCGTTGTTCCATGCTCCAAGATATGTAAGTATGAATGTAACTGTTGGGATTCCAAGGAGGGGTGAAAACAGGCGGGGGGTATGGGGTTCTCCCCCAGAAAATTTGAAATTGTAGATTGCAGGAGATGGTATTTGAACAACTTGAGTACATTTACAGCCTTCATTCTGACTACGAGCAATTATATTTTTAGTAGACACAATTCGTTATTTTATATTTTTAATTTTACTTTCGGATCAACAAGGGGGGCCAGGCCCCTTGCCTGCCCCCCCCTAACTACGCCACTGCGCCGAACAGATTCAAACAACGACGCGACAACGCCAAAAACAGGAAAAAAAGCGGCGCCGGTCTATGCAAGTTCGACGTGTTCGTGCCGTCATGACGTGAAGCTGGCACGGAGGCGAAAAAAAAAAAAATGTTGTCGCCATGACGACGCTCAGCTGATTAATCCGTCGTTAATCCAGTGTGGACGAGAGATTCGTTAAGCAATGACCACAGAGGAACAAAGGCACGAGGAAATACAGCTCACGATCACGCCACCCTGGTGCAAACGCCTGCATTACGCTCCACTGACATCATGGTGGCACCCGAATCAGTCCATGCTACCTGTGGCAATCCTGATCAAAGTCACCCACCTGGTGGCAACCCTGAATCAGTCACGCCACCTGGTGGCAACCCTGAATCAGTCACGCCACCTGGTGGCAACCGTGAATCAGTCACGCCACCTGGTGGTAACCGTGCATACGCTCACAGTTGGACACTGGGTGCAACTTGAATCAGTCATGAACCTGGTGGCAACCCTGAATACCTCGTCGCACACCTGGTGGCAACCCTGCATACACCTCACTGACACTGTGCAACCCTGAATCTCACGCACCTGGTGCAACGTCATAGCTCACGACAAAGCGCCCGCACATCACGGACACAGCGATGCGCACCACAAAATCCAATTAACCGAGCGCACGAGCGAGCACTGAAACAATGTCATCATCCATACATTCGTCGGCCACTACACTCAACGGTGAGAGAGAGAGAAAGAGAGAGAAGAGAGGAGAGAAGAGCGAGAGAGAGAGAGAAAGAGAGAGAAAGACAGAGAGAGAGAGAGAAGAAGAGAGAGAGAGAGAAGAGAGAAGATGAGAGAGAGAGAGAGAGAAGAGACAGAAAGAGAGAGAGATGAAGCAGATGAGAGAGAGAGAGAGAGAGAGAGAGAGCGAGACGAGAGAGAGAGAAAGGAGAGAGATGAGAGAGAGAGAGAGAGAGAGAGAGAGAGAGAGAGAGAGAGAGAGAGAGAAAGACAGAGCGAGAAGAGAGAAAGAGGATAGAAAGATGAAAGAGAGAGAGAAGAGAAAGATCAGAGAGAGAGAGCGAGAAAGAGAGGAGAGAGAAGAGAGATAAGAAGAGAGAGAAGTAGAGAGAGACGAGAGAAGAGAGAGAGAGAGAGATGAAGAGAAAGAGAGAGAGAAAGAGAGAGAAAGAGAGTAGTGACCACTTCTAGAGGTTTACACACATCTATCTACTTGTTCATCTGCGTGTACACTTAGAAAGTTCAGACAAAGAAGAAGCACCAATCGAGCGCCAAGGAAGTGTTGTGGTGATGTGTGTGTGTGTGTGTGTGGTGTGTGTGTGTGTGTGGTGTGTGTGTGTGGTGTGTGTGTGTTGGTGGGTGAATGGTATGTGTGCGTGCGTGTATGTGTGTCTGTGTGTGCGTGCGTGCGTGTTGTACTGTTGTGTTGTGTGTGGTGTGTGTGTGTGTGGTGTGTGTGTGGTGTGTGTGTGTGTGTGTGATGTGTGTGTGTGTGTGTGTGGTGTGTGTGTGTGTGGTGTGTGTGTTGTGTGTGTGGTGTGTGTGTGTGTGTGTGTGGTGTGTGTGGTGTTGTGTGAATGTGTATCTGTGCGTGCGTGTGTGTATGTGTGTGTTGTGTGTGTGTGTGTGTGTTGTGTGTGTGTGTGTGCTGTGTGGTGCTGCACGCCGTGTATGTGTGTGTGTTTGGTGTGTGTGTGTGTGGTGTGTGTGCGCGCGTATGTGTGAGTGTGTGTGTGTGTGTGTGTATGTATGTGTGTGTGTGTATGTGTGTGGTGTGTGTGTGTGTGTGTGTGTTGTGTGTGTGTGTGTGTGTGTGTGTTGTGTGTGTGTGTGTGGTGTGTGTGTGTGTGTGGTTCCTTGTGACTCTGTGTGTGGTGTATGTGTTGGTGTGTGTTTGTGGGGTGTGTGCGTGTGCGTGTGCGGTGCGTGTGCGTGCGTGTAATGTATTAGGGCAGGATGCAGGTAGCTCTTGAGATATTGATCGTATCATGTTGCATTGCCATGTGTTCTGCCCAGGTTTTTTTTAGTGGCCGGTCGCATCCAGGTTGCGACGATGCAAGCCCACATCTAGGGGTTCACGGGGCATGCCCCCGCAAGAAATTTTTTATTTTTGGATAGTACTGAAAGCTTCAATTTCCTGCATTCTGAGCGCATAAAAAGCCCATATATCAGGACCTTTTTTGTTTAAATATTAAAAATTATGTGCCGGGCAGAGATAGTATAGTGCGGCGACAAGCCGCGAGTGCCGGAGCACACAAAGTCCGCCCACCCGCCTGCCCGCCGTGGCAGAACCCTAATACGATTGACAGTATTTTCAAATAAAACTAGTCGCCTTTTACAAGTAACTTTGTTGATTTAAAAAAGTGATTTGTACATTAAAAAGAAGATGAAATTACGTAGCTTTGGATTGAATTATATTGAATTGACTAAAGTGCATCCAAACAGCAGACTTAGCGAGTGTTGGTCCGACAATCTTAACGAAGTTGAATGCTCATCATTCATTTTGCTCTAACCAGCTTTAGCAGACTGGCGTGAAAAAATGCTCTTTAAAAAAAAAAATCATTTGGCTGTCACAATTTGAAATGACGGTAAAAACGTTCTTTCTTTAAGCATGCATTAGAGTTTATATGATGATATTTTTGATATTATTTTGATATTATTTTGATTATTTTTTACGATTTTATATATTGAAGAAACGTTTGACTTGCCACAAGAATACACTCAACCTGGACTCAACCAATCATGTGTACGCTTACAAATCATTATCAACGAGCTCTTGTTTTGTTTTAAAGATTTGTATCACAATCTCACACACTAATTAATATATCTATGAACAGCGCACCCCTAATGAATAAAAATAAAATATAAAATAAAATAATATAATAAAATAATATAATATATATATTAATTATATAATATAATATAATTAAAATATAATTATAAATAAATATATATATAGCGAGAGAGGAGAGGGTTGAAACGAGACAAAAGAGTAGGTGAATACGGACAAGTTAGGGAGGAAAGAACGAGATAGGAGGAGAGTATATAGTAAGAGAAGAGCAGGAGAGACGGGGATAAACTAAAGGCAGGAGGATGAAAGAGAGAGAAATAGCTGAAACAGACAGACAAGACAGCCAGACAGACAGACAGACCAGACAGACAGACAGACAGATGACAGACCAGACAGACAGACACGAACAGACAGACAGACAGACAGACAAGACAGACAGACAGACGGCACAGACAACAGACCAGACAGAACAGAACAGATCAGACAGACAGACAGAACAGACAAAGACAGACAGACAGAGCGTGATGACAGATGGTAACAGAGGATAGTGCCGCTGTATGTAAGCCTCTCTCCTCATCTCTCGTCTCTCTCTCTCTCTCTCTCTCTCTCCGCTCTCGCTCTCGCTCTCATCCTCTTCTCTGCTCTCTCTCTCTCTCTCTCTCTCTCTCTCTCTCTCTTTCCATCCTCTATCTCCCCTCCTCCTCCTCTGCAGCATCCCTCTCCTCTCCCCCCTTTCGCTCTCCCTCCCTCTCCCTTGCACTCTCGTTTCTCTCACTTCATGCTATCCTTCTATCTAGTTCTCCCTGTCTCCCTCTCTCTCTCCTTCTCTCTCTCTCTCTCTCTTCTCTCTCCCCGCTTTCGCCTCTCCCTCCCTCTCCTTGCACTCTTTCGTTTCTCTCACTTCATCGCCTACCTTCTACATCTAGTTCTCCCTAATCTTCCCTCTCTCTTCCTCTCCTTTCTCCCTTTCTTCTCTCTCCTCTCTCTCAGGGGGTCTCTCTCTCTCTCTCTTCCTTCCTCCTCTATCTCTCTCTTTCTCTCTATTCTCTCCTCTCTGCTCCTTCTCTCTCGCTCTCCTTCTCTCTCCTTTCTTCTCTCCCTCATCTCTCCTCTCTCGAGAGAGAGCGTGCGCGTGCGTGCGTGCTTGCTTGCTTGCTTGTGTATGTAAGTGTGCGTGTGGTCCTTGTGTATGCATGTGTGCATGTGCTTGTGCATGCGTGCGTATGTGCGTGCGTGCGTGCGTGCGTGCGTATGTGCGTATGTGATGTGTGCTTTTGTATGGGAGCGTACGTACTTGCGTATACATGTGTGCATGGGCTCGCGCGCGAGTGCGTGTGCGTGCTTGTGTTTTCGAGCGTGCGTCGTCGTAGTAACGGCACGCCGTGCTGCTTCCTCTTGCAGGCTATGGCCAGCAGATGATGCCCCCGCACGGTGGCGCCTCCCAGCAGCAGCAAGCGGCGGCGGCGGCGGCGGCGGCGGCGGCGGCGGCGTACGGAGGCGGGAAGATGCCGCATCCCGGCATGATGGCGGCCGGCCCGTCGATCAACCAATACGGCAACCAGTCGCCGCAGAGCCAATACCCACCAGGTGGCGTGCTCGTTATTTGTTTACGCGTTGAAATCTCGGGAAAAGCCGTTTAATTTACGAAGTTCTGCTCTCCAGGTTGGGAGAGGTATCCTAGGAAGTCCTGGAATTTTAAAATGGAATTTTAACTTTTTTCCATTTTGGAATGGCCTGGAAAATAGAGACTGAATTTATTCTGCACAACAAGACAAATTCTCACACTGTAACGCGAGACGCGAGAGTCGTGGCAAGCGTGGCATTCCTTTAAAACAAGAGAACAAATGCCATACGCCATTTGTAAATGTATTGTTTTGTTTTATTAGCGGTAGATTATTAATGATTTTGACGTGTTTTTCAAGAAAAACACACATTTTATTCATTATTATAAAATATAATATCACTATAATTGTAATTCGTAGTGTAAATGTGTTATTTTCAACTTAATATTAAAGTTACGAGAGGGTGTGGGCTCTCGTAATGTTATGAGGATATTTGCGAGGATTTTTCGTTCTCGTAACATTACGATGTTTCTGTCAACGGTTAACGAGTGGAAGTTAATGTTAAGACTAATTTTAAGACTAATTTTGTTTCTGACAACGGGCCCATGGATATATAGCGGCATAGACGGAGTGGTGTTGATGTAGTAGCGAGACGACGTCGTAGTCACGATATACGACAGCAACAGCTTGCTTTAGCAAAGTATTACAGTCAGGAAAAGCTTTATGATTATTTATATATACATGTATGCATACAGGCATACATGTATGCATACATTCATATATATATATATATATACTTATTCTTCTCTATATCTTACATGTATATTGTAGCTGTATCTTGAACGTTGCCTGCTTTGCTGTCGTCGCAGGTGCCTATAATCGAGGACCGGCAGGTGGCAGCACCGTGCAGGGTTACGGCGGCCAGCAGCCGCAGCAGCAGCAACAACAGAACAGCTACGCACCGCCCGGGCAGTCGGCCGCCGCGATGAACCAGTACGGTGGCGCCCCCATGAGCCAGCCGTCGTCCTACGGCGGCTACCGCGGCGGTGGCGGCGGCGGCGGCATGGTGCCGCCAGACCTCGCCGGCGCCCCCTACCCTCCGCAGGGGGCGCCACAGTACCCGACGATGTCCGGCATGTCGAACGCGGTGCCGCACGCAGGTCCGCACGCTGCGGCGAAGGCAGCCATGATCGCCGCTCAACGCGTCTCGCAGCAGCGCCCGCCGGCGCCCTCTTTTGGCGGCGACGCGCAGCAGGGGGCGCCGCCGCCGCCGCAGTCGCAGCGGATGTACGCGGCGGCGGGAAAGTACGTCGGCAGCGCGCTGAGTCCGTCACCGGGCGGCGGCCAGCAGGGGGCGCCGATGGGCTCGCCGGGGATTGGATTAAACATGAGCAGTCCGACGGCGGGGCCGCGCGTCATGAGCCCCAACATGGCGGCTGCGACGTCGCCGGGCATGCGCCACCCGGGCGCCAGTCCGCTGCACAACAGCATGGAGTCGATGGCCGGTAGGTGGCGCCACGCGTGCGTGCGTGTTTGTAGTTAAATGTTAATAATAATTAAAAATTATTAATAATTAATTAAGATAAAAATAACAATTAATAACTATGTTAACTATATATATTATATATTATAACATGGATATATATATATTATAGATATGTATATAGTTTTTCTCTATGCTTCTCCTTTTATGAGAATTGTGTTTGTTAAAATTATCTATGCGTGCTTATCAATGTTAGTGCTAATAGTTATGAATGTGATGCGTTCATCTAGTATAATCTACGTACATCTAGTATAATCTAGTAATCTAGTATAATCTACGTACATCTAGTGAATAAGCACATGTTAGGTCAGATCTTAGGCTAGTTAACAAACAAACTAACCAGTTTAAAAATCAATATTGTTATATGTTAAATAATAGTTGTTGTAATATATATGTTATTTGCATTATAATAGAAATGTTCTCTATATTCACAACATGAGTAAAATCCTCAATTGATTGTCTACATCAAAAAAATCTCTGAGGCTGAAAATTGGAAGGTGGGCCAATCGCGGCACGCGGCACGCGGTCCGTTGTGTCGGGGGATCTGTAACGGGTCATCTGATTGGACAGGTATGACGTCACCGCTGCACTCGCCGATGCCCGGCCCGCCATCGCAGCATTCTCGCTCGCAGACACCGATGTCGAGCGGTGGCGCCCCCATGGTCGGCGGCGACGGCATGGTGACCAGTACAGGTGAGCGTGGTGGCCATGTTTGATCTAGCCAGGTTTTGTGGAGCTGCCATGTTTGGTCTAGCCAGGGTTTGTGGAGCTGCTGTGGTTGGTCTAGCCAGGGATTGTGGAGCTGCCATATTTGGTCTAGCCAGGGGTTTGTGGGGCGGCCATGTTTGATCTCGGGGCCTAGTGCTCGAATTTATTGTGAACCTGTAATAAGCTATAGATATCTAGATTCATAATTTGTTCATCACAGATTTGCAATAACCATAGCTATAGTATAGATATATAGCTAGCAGTGAAAAAAATATACGGGGGCTCGGGGCGATTTAGCCCCCGAAATGCCAAAAAGCGCCCCCGGAAATTTGCATAGAGTTCAATGCAAACCAAATTTTAGAGTGCTATTTTCATGCACGCGAGCTTGAAAAGTTGCCCCGGAAAAATAAATTTTTATTATTTTTTCCCTGATAGCTAGAACATATAGTGCTGCATCACTTATCATTTACATATATACACGTGCGGCATGTAAGTGCGATGTCGTTGTTGGCGTCGTGTGTGTGACCTCTCTGTGACCTCTGGCTGCCCTTGTGACCTCTGTGTGACCTTGTGACATTGCAGCGGCGTCGGGACCCGTGACACAGGCTGTGACAAGTCCGGCGTCCTCGATCACCGGTTCGATGGTTGACGTGATGGGACCGCCGGCTCACTACCCACACCTAGACACACCCATGCAGCAGCAGCAGCAGCAGCAGCAACAGCAGCAGCAGCAGCAGCAGCAACAACATATGGTGAAGCAGGTAAGAGAGAGGATGGTGAGAGACTGAGAGGGAGAGAGGTAGAAAGACAGAGAGAGGAGAGAGACAGAGACAGAGGAGAGAGAGAGAGGGAGAGAGAGTGAGAGAGAGGTAGAGAGACTGAGACAGAGGAGAGAGAGAGAGGGAGAGATGTAGAGAGACAGAGACAGAGGAGAGAGAGAGAGAGAGAGAGAGAGAGAGAGAGGTAGAGAGACTGAGACAGAGGAGAGAGAGAGGGGGAGAGAATGAGAGAGAGAGAGATGTAGAGAGACAGAGACAGAGGTGAGAATGAGATTGACAGAGAGAGAGATGTAGAGAGACTGAGACAGAGGAGAGAGAGAGAGCGACAGAGAGAGGAAGAGAGAGAGATGTAGAAAGGCAGAGACAGAGGAGAGAATGAGATTGAGAGAGAGAGAGAGAGAGTTAGAGAGACTGAGCCAGAGGAGAGAGAATGAGAGGGAGAGATGTAGAGAGACAGAGACAGAGGCGAGAATGAGATTGAGAGAGAGAGCGCGAGGTAGAGAGCCTGAGACAGAGGAGAGAGAGCGACAGAGAGAGGAAGAGAGAGAGATGTAGAAAGGCAGAGACAGAGGAGAGATTGAGAGAGAGAGAGAGAGGTAGAGAGACTGAGACAGATGAGAGAGAGAGAGGGGGAGGTATGAGAGGGAGAGATGTAGTGAGACAGAGACAGAGGAGAGAATGAGATTGAGAGAGAGAGAGAGGGGTAGAGAGACTGAGACAGAGGAGAGAGAGAGAGAGAGAGAGAGAGATGTAGAAAGACAGAGACAGAGGAGAGAATGAGATTGAGAGAGAGAGAGAGAGAGAGAGAGAGAGAGAGAGACAGAGGGAGAGAGAGTAATAAGAATTTGGTGCGTGCCTGTTCGTACAGTCATTAAAAAAATTTCTCATGTACGTTATAGAAAATTTATGAGCCGATCGTGTAATACGTTGTCGTAATGTGCATTGAAACCAGGTCAAGTCCCTGCGCTCTTATATTATACTAATTTACTCGTTAAAGTGATTACGTCACCGAAAATAGTAAAAAAAAAAATATTCACAAAATATAAGTAATTCTGTTCACTTTTTATGGTTAAATTGCTGCATTATACTTCTTATTTTACTATATTGTTCGATGTGAACATACACTCGTGACTCATACATAGCCCATAGCAAGCAATTAATGTTTAAAGGAACAATAAGGACACTAATATTTTTAAGGACACTAATATCAAATCGTCCAGGTTTTTTTGGATTTTTAACTAGTTGAGAAACAATCTTATCAGGTAAGAATTTGACGATACGTTTAGTCCCGTTAGTTCTTACTTTTAATGTAAGAAAATGGCAACAAAATTTTTACAAATTTTACCATAGAAAATTCGTGACGTAGTCAATATAAATAGCCGTCATTGCCTAATAGACTTAGAATTTTTATTTTAAAATAATCACTTTAAATAGCCGGCATTGCGAAATATTTCATAGACGAAATCATAATCACGAGGTGCGGGGCGTAGTAATAGCGGGGGCTTCAATTTCTCTACGACGAAGCAAGCGTCGCTCTTCCTCGTTTTAATCTGATGTTTTTACGCGCACCTTACCGCAACTTATTATTATTATTATTATTATTATTATTATTATTATGTAAATTATTTATTAAATTTACTCATCGGGTAACCGTGTCGTTCGCGTGCGTTTGGCGAGGCGTGAGCGGATGTGTAGCGTTTGTGTTTTTCTCCTGCAGGAGGCGCCAATGAGGCCGCCGTCGCACCCGCCGACGCCCGGCGCACTGCCGACCCCCTCCCCCAGCTCGGCTAGCATGACGAGTTTCCATGGCGACGACACGGAGACGAACAGCCCGACGTGGCCACGGACGCCCTCTAGTCCGGTAAATACGAACTAACACGGACGCACGGATGGTGATGGTGATGGTGACGGTGGCGGCCTGACGCGTGACTCACTGACGCCGCCGCTGATGATGACGATGACGCGGACGATGTTAACATAACTTAACACGCGCGCGCGTGTGCGAGCTACGCGCCGTTAGCTGCAGTGTTGATCTATTGTTTCTTCAAAACCTACGTCGCCTTTATTTTCGCACACAATCCGACATTCACCGGAGACTCAAACTAAACTAAACTAACATAAATAAAATAACTACAAATCACTACCAGATAAACGAGTGCACCGTATATTATTTATACGAAAACTGACGTCATTGAGGTAATCCACCGGAATTCCTTGAATGACCAATCAAATAAGTTGTAGCATTTTAGTATAACTACAGCCTGTAGCTGCAATGTTGTCTCTACACTCATCTTGGCTGCTTGCTACTGCAGCCACACAGGTGTCAGTGTAAATATCTTATAATAATATATCATAATAGAATATATAATATAGATATTTTAGTATATATATATATTTATATATAATATTATTTATATATAAATATATTTAATATTTAATATTAATATTTATATATAAATATATCGATTTATGATATAATATCATTTATTATATAATGATATAAGCAGTTCTGTATGCAGCTACGGTCGTGTCAGGGTATTAGCCCGGAGATCAGCATATTGTGGGAGTGCAGAAACCATATTGGCGAGTGCAATTTTAGCAAACGTACACGGCTTTAGATCAACATATATACGGCCGTGCGCTTACCGTTTTTGGCCGTCGCAGGTTTTCAAAACTGACCGTGCAATCACGGCTCACGGCTCGTCTGGCTAAATACGTTGCCTCGTGTAGCGATGCAAACCGATCCGAGTGAAGTGCGAAGAGGTCTGTTAAGTGTCAGATGATGCCAACCACATTTTGATAGCAATCTGTAGTTTCTGGCGCCATCAAATTAGTAGTTCGAGGTACGTAGTGACGGCCGAGTTGTTGCTAGGGGGCGTCGCGGCATGCCCCCGGAAAATTTCTTGATTCTTGAAGATGCAATTTCCTGGCATTCTGAGGCGTCAAAAATGAACAATAATGTAAAAATTTTGATCACGGTGAAATTCATATTTGACTACAAACTGGTCATAGCTGGTGGCAAAAGGAATAGGAAAATTCGTATAAAAATACGGATTAAATGCGTAGTGGTTTTGGGCATCTCTGAGTGTTACTCACAGCTATGGTTACGCCAGCATCTGCTGCTGTAGGTCAACATTCCGGCAGCCTTTGGCAAATCACTCGCAAAAGTATTATTATTATTTATTTATAACATTTTTTCGCAGCCTTTGCAATACACTCGCAAAAATATTAATATTATTAATTATTATTATTATATCACTGATCTCGCTAGCCGTTTGTAACCCCAAACCGTCGCAAAGATATTATTATTATTATTATTATTATAGACACTCGCACGCCTTTGCACACACGTCGCAAAAATATTAATATTGATTATTATTATTATAGCACACTCGCAGCTTTTGCAAACACTCGCAAAAATAATATTATTATTATTATTATTATTATAACACTCGCAGCCTTTGCAAGCACTCCGCAAATAATATTAGGTATTATTGATTAATAACACTGCGCAGCTTAACGGTGTAGGTGTAGCCCACACGCGTCCGCATACAGCCGTACCCACATTTCGGCCACGGATGCCGGTGCGGAGGTGTGTAACCGCGGCGACGGTCGCGACGACGCGTAGCCGTGGTTACGGAGGCCCGGCGGCCCGGGCCCCGGCGCTTCCGCTGTTCGGTTCGTGGCTGCGCGGTTGGTTTGGTTGTTGGTCGCGTAGATATTCGGTGGCTGTGTGGTGTTTTTGGTTTTCCTGTTTGGTTGTTGTGGTTGATTTATTCACGCATTATTAACATGTTGATTTACGGCGCCGCTGCAGGCGGTGGCGCCCCCGCGTGGCGCGCGCGGCGCGTAGCACGTCTGAGCCGATGCCCTGGCTCGCAGTTCGTTGGTACGACGCCGACGTTGGTTTACGTAGTGCCCTCTGGCGAGAAAGGTCGGTGGCGAAGACCTCTGTCAGAGCGTGGCTTAAATTTGATCGTAAATCGGAGACGGGCGGGAAAAAACGGCACGCGTTCAGACTTGCTACACATTCTCTCCCCGGTGCCCTGCGCTTCCCCACCCCCATTACTGCCCCTCCCCCCCCCATCCATTACCTCTCTGGCCATTTCAAGGTTGTTTCAGTTGCTAACTTTTGTGGTGCAAACAGGTGGCAAGCACTATTCGTTTTCAGGCTTTCGTCACGCTGTTTGGCTTTTTAACCGCAGTGGGGTCGTTGGTTCTGTTGTCGTTAGATTTTTTTTTTATCGCTGTTGGCTCGCACAGTTTGGTTGTCTGTTTGCTGTCGCTTCCGCCGCAGGTGGCGCCACTAACACCCGCCCCCCAGCCCTTTATCGCGCGCCCCCTGGAGTCTGTCATTGGCTTAATCGGTGCATTTCAGATTTAGTTTGCTGGTGTCTTGCTTGCTGTGTGGGATGCGCCACGCGGCAACGACTCGACAGAGCTGCCTCTGTGGTTCTACGTCATGTTCGACTTGTGTGTGGCTGTCGCTGTGCGTGCATGCGTGCGTGCGCGCGTGCCCGTGTCTGTGTCGCTGACTGCTTACCACCTCCTCTCTGTCCCGCGCCGTTCGCTTGGCTGCGTTTAACAATGAACGTCTCCCGACCGGTCGGCGTCGTCCGCATGATGGACAACGGCCGTGCTACGTTAACGCTCGGTACGATAACGTGCAGTGCAATAACAGCTGTTCGATATATTACGCCGAAGTGCAATAATCGGCTGGTGGCTAACGGTGGGCGCTGTGGTGTGTTGTGGGTAACATTTGTGTTATGCTAGGTGATGTGACGAATCTATGTTTGAAGGAGAAAGACAGAAGATAGAGAGACGAGAGAGAGAGAGTGAGTGTGGAGTGAGAGAAGAGAGAAAGATAGAGAGGAGAGTGAGTGCAAAGAGAGAGTGAGTGAAAGAGAGAGAGCCTCTCCCTCTTTCCTCCTTCCGGGAACGAAGAGAGAAGAGAGGAGGAGGGATTACATGAGCTCAGTTTCTAGGCTCTATTCGCTCTCGTCTCTTTCACTCACCTCCTCACTGCACTCCCTCTCTCTATCTTTCTCTCTCTCTCACTCACACTCACTCTCTCTCTCTCTCTCTCTATCTTTCTGTCTTTCTCCTTCACATAGATTTCGTCACATCACTACATAACAAATGTTACCCAACACCACCACAGCCCCACCGTTAGCCCACCACCGATTATTGCACTTCGCGTTTATATCGAACAAGCTGTTATTGCACGCTGCAAGCGTTATCGTACGAGCGTTAACTAAGCACGCGTTGTTCCCATCATGGCGGACGGAGCCGACCGTCGTGGAGAGTTCTTGTTAACGGCACGAGCGAACGTGCGCGGGCAGAGGGAGGTGGTAGCAGTCAGCACACAGACACGCGCACGCACGCATGCACGCACACGCACGCACAACAAAGTCGAACATGACGTAAACACAAGAGCAGCTCTGTCGAGTCGTTGCCGCGTGGCGCATGCACACAGAAGCAGACACCAGCAACTAAATCTGAAATGCACCGTTAGCCAATGACGACTCCAGGGGCGCCGATAAAGCGGCTGGGGGCGGGTGTTTAGGGCGCCAACCTGCCGCGGGAAGCGACAGCAAACAGACAACCAAATGTTGTGGCAGAGCCAACAGGCCGATAAAAAAATCTAAACGACCAACAACGCAAAACGACACCACTGCGGTTAAAAAGCAACAGCCGTGAGAAAGCTGAAAACGGAATAGTGCTGCCACCTGTTGACCACAAAAGTTAGCAACTGAAAACCTGAAATGGGAGAGTAATGATGGGGGGGGAAGGGGGCATGAATGGGGGTGGGCAAGCCAGGGAACGGGGAAAAGAATGTGCTAGCAATCATGAACGTGTGCCGTTTTTTTCCCCAGCCCGTCTCCGAGTTTACAAATCAAATTTAAGCCGCGTCTGCCAGAGGTCTTCGCCACCACCTTTCTCGCCAGAGGGCACTATTCGTAACCAAAACGGGTTTTTTCGCGTTCTTACAAGAACTGCGGCAGGCATCGGCTCATGACGTGCTACCGCCGCGGCGCCACGCGGGCACGCCTGCAGGCGGCGCGTAAATCAACGTGTTAATATATGCGTGATAAATCAACCACGAACAACCAAACCAGGACAAACCAAAACACCACACAGCCCACCGATTATGACGCCGACCAACACGCAAACCACCGCAGCAACACCGACAGCCGGAGGTCGGAATACACCAGGCTGACGCGTCGTCGCGACGTCGCCGCGGTTACACACTCCGCACCGCATCGTGGCCGAAATGTGGGTACGGCTGTACGCGACGCGTGTGGGCACACCTACACGTTAGCTGCCGAGTGTTTATAATATATAATAATAGATCTATTTGTATGGCGAGTGCTTGCGAAAGCTGCGAGGTTATATAATAATAATAATAATAATATTATTTTTGCGAGTGCTTGCAAAGGCTGCGAGTGTTATAATAATAATAATAATAATATTATTTTTGCGAGTGTTTGCAAAGGCTGCGAGTGTTATAATAATTATAATAATAAATATTTTGCCGAGATGTTTGCAAAGGCTGCGAGTGTTATGAATAATAATGAATAATAATTGATAATATTTTGCGAGGTGCTTCGCAAAGGCTGCGAGTGTTATAATAATAATATATAATTTTTGCGAGTGTTGCAAAGGCTGCGAGTGTTGATCCTACAGAGAGACGCGGCATAACCATAGCTGTGAGTAACACTCAGAGATGCCAACCACTACGATTTATCCGTAGATTTATATACGAATTTCTATTCTCTTTTGCCACCATATGACCAGTTTGTATCAAACTATTAATTTCACCGTGAATCAAATTTTTTTACATTATTGTCATTTTTGACC